CTGATTTGCACGTGAATATTGGGCACTTAAAAATCACTTACCACTGGTCTGCATGCACTGAGTTTCTTTCATGTTAGCAAAAACTGCCAATCACAAATAAAAGGGCCCCCAAAAATGCAACAGCCAAATATTCAAAGTGACCATTTAAAATGTAGTCTTGTATACAGAGAACAAGCCTTTCTGCCCGGTAAACTTGATAGGAATCACTTCTAGTTAAAGCTTAAATACATGTATTACAGTGAAACACTGTTGGACAGTGCTCCGTCATCAATCACTCTGTGTTCTTGAGGACACTATTTTTCAAGATGCTTTCTTTAAGAATAAAGCTCTGTAATGAATGCGTGCTAACTGGTCCCCCAAGCCATTTGTGTTTTTTTTTATTTGTATCAGTGTCAGAGTTGAGCTTCGGTAAGAAATTTTTGCAGTATTTTATTTGTAGTCTTCATTATTTCATGTTGAGGACACAAAACTCTTTATGCACCCAGAGTCTGCACTGGTTCGTTTATATCCCGTATTTTGTTAACATGTTACCGTGATTGCTAATTTTCATGACAATTGTTATTGTACCATCAGTGCTTAATGGCAAGGCATCATTATTCAATGCTGGTCAATCAGGCACTAAGACATGTGCAAGACATCAGGCTGAACCCATATACATGTCGTGCACTCCCCTGCTAATGAATGCCGTTTTGTAAAGAGGTTTAAACACGGTTGGCATCCTTAATGTAAGGTTTGCAAAAGCTTGTTGGGGAACTGCTTTCTGTTTATACGGAGCAGATCTAAACATGTCATAAACAGAGTTAGACCCATTGTGTGTGTGTGTGTGTGTGTGTGTGAAACTACGGAGAGGAGCGAATCATTCTGCATTCTGAAATGTGGAAAGGCAGCCCAACTTCTGCCATGGCAGGAGGGTGGAGATCTGGTTTTCCAGGGACATCAGTCACCATGTGCATCGGAGAGGCAATCCCCAAAAGCAGACAGCGTCCTTCATCAGCTCTCAAAGTCAGCGCTGGCTGGAGGGACCCTGGTCAGAGGTTTGGCACTGTCAGCAGAGGCCAAGGCTCTGGGAAAGGAGGAGCAGAAGGAAACTCCAGGGGAGCAGGATGCGCTTTCTACGTCCATAGCCTGGCGTGTCAGTCCAGCGTGCTCTTCCCGTGCGCTGGTTAATGTTACCCTCGCTTCTGCTTTAGTTACTGCTTCTGAGTGGTTTTGCACCCAAATGTTTTGGGCTGCTGTCCATGATAAACTAGACGGAACTCATTTAAAAGCTCAGATTTTTCGTCTCTTCTAACTCAAAGTAGAATGACCCCTTGTGCTCTTAGAGTTTCGAGTATGAAAGGAACAGTAGACATTGGCTGTTAACGAGCTCCAGCACGCCGGGCTCCAGCAGAACTTGGTGTGAATTCAGTACCTAAGCTGCATCGACTAAATGGTTAATTCATCTCATATCAACAGCGCTATGATTCATAATGTAAACTGGAGGAATCCTTGATGTTTCAGTCACACATTCCTCTTAATTTGGCCATGCATTCTTTTAAAGCTACAGTGTGCTAACTTAATAAAATGCAGCATGCAAATGCACAAGTTTTTGCCTTCAGGCATTTTAGCCATGGATGTTTCAATGGGTGTCTTCTTTCAAGTATATATTCTTTCTTAAATTATTTACCCTGTAAACATGCTTTGCATTTTCAAAGAAGAATCTGGGCTTCCTCATTCACCAGATTTTGTTGAATTTAAGGTGCAATGGAGATAAAAGACTATCATCTGCTTCTTGCGAGCATGTTAGCCTTTGGGATTTTTTTGTAGCAAATGTTAGGCCCCGTTTTCTTCTCCTTTGGTATTATCGCTCCCTCCCCCACTTAAATTCCTTGATGCTTTGCCTAGAGCAATACCCACTGGCGGTGTCTGGCTGTGACAGTACTATAGGCTTCCCTACAGATGGGTCCTGCCAATGCCAACCATTGTTCTACCACTGTGAGCTGGCTTGACTGTCTTGGATCACTCAAAACCCCCTTTTGCCTTGATTTTTTCTTTACTCTCAAGGGTCGCCCTTGCCTGTTGACTTTCAGATCTGAAATGTGCTGACACCCAGAATTTTGTTCTCTGTCTGAGCAGCAGCTCCCAGGCTCGGACTCCAACATGCACGGCTTGCTGCGCCTTCCTCAAGACTGTCCTGCTGCTACCAAATGGCTCTGCCGTTCTCCTCATAGCCCCATCCTTCTGGCAGTTTGCAGTTAGTTTAATTTTGCTTGCTCAGTTGAAAGTACAACAGTAAAACTCGATGTTACTCTTTTTCTAAAGATATAAAATTAATCTTTTAACTGTGGGCTTGAATATTAAAAGTGTATAATGCTTCAGTGTAGGAGTCTGTTGATAACATCCATCCTATTTCATGATTAATTTGTTCCTTTTAATATGATATGCTTTTGCTGCACTGTGCAGACTAATTCAGATTCCTAGAAATTGAACTTTGATATGTATTTCCTAGATTCACACCGTAAGTGAACCTTCAATTAGCAGATACAGGTGGCAGCATGCCTCGCTCAGTGTTCTCTTGACGAGGATTTTAGAGACGTGGACACTGATTAAATAATCTTGCAAATGGGTGTGTACTGCCAGAGTATTAAAAATAAAGCATTTGGGGGATTTGGTGCTTTTTTAAATTTTTCTTTCACTTAAGTCTCAGACGATGAGATGTGTTTTCAGTGGGCCAGAGATAGGAGGAGTTGAATTAAACACTCAGTATGTTATGTATGCCTCTGCCTAACTATGTGTTAGATTAAGCGAGTTTCACTCACAGTTAATCCTTTGTAAATTAGCATTATGGATGCCTTGGGGCCCACATCCCACAAATAAAATGGTTGTCAAGCCAGCTGCACTGTGTATTACTTAAGGCTGAATGTTTTAAGAGTTTTCATGCTTTTAATCTATTTCACTGCTGAGTTTCAATTTTGCTGAGTGTCTTTTCAGGAGTGATGAGGGTGAGTGAGTAAATATATATTCTGGTTTTCATGCATTTGCCTGGGCAACTCCTTTGTTATCAGGTGTTTGGCAGAGAATGTCACACCCCGCCACAAAAGAGAAGCTTGTAAGTTCAGGTGTTAAACTGAAGTGCAAACCAACAAGAACCAAAAGCCCTTAATTAGCTTTATTTTGTTAGCCTGCTACACTTTTTTTTTTTTAGGGGAAAAAAAAGAAGTAGTGAGAAACATCCCTCCCTCCTCCTCATCCTTTTGGCAGAGTAAATATTGCCTGTTAAGTTTGAATTAGCTGTCATCGCAAAAGAATTAATGCTGTGGTTGAGCCTTTCTAGTGAGGAAGGGAAAAATAAACGAGACAGATCTTAGTTCAGCTTTAAGTGATAAATGAGGACAAAGCAGCCCATTCATCTCCTGCTAGGAAAGTGGACACAAACACTAAAGCAGTTTTGCGGAAGACATGTCAGCAAATGTGATCATTTTGTAACCTGTCAGGAGGATAGAGAGCTAGTCCTTTTAGAGTGTCACAGGGGAGGGTGTCTGTCTGATGTGACAGTTTGCATCCAGCCATTTACTGCGTTTTCTTTAGGTGGGGGGTAAGCAAGGAGAGAGCTGGAGTTGGTTAAAACTGCGTTTTTCGTTACACTTTCCAATATAATTTATATGTATATCCACCCACGTCCAAATGAAAAACATTTACCAAGGAAAACTCCCCTCTGCTCTCTAGAGTTTCTTCTCTCTTTCTCTGCATGATACATGCTCATTTTAACACATTACACTCTCTGTCTTCAAGTTGGAGCCTTGTATTTGGTTTGATGTTTCACAAAACACAATTTTACCTTTTCTTACCATTGTTTGGTTGGTGAAGGCTCTGTTTTGTTTTGGTTTCTTTTCTTTTGTTTTGCAAAAGCATAAGAAAAAATAAAAGAAGAATAAATATAACTTAGGGTTGTTCTGTTGGGTTTGTTGTTTTTTTTTTCTATACTTCTCCAATTCTGACAATATGCTTCATGTACAAATATATTTTGTAAAAGTTCCTGTGTCATGAAAAGCCTATGAAAATATTCTTCCTCCTCTGTGAGAATGGAATAAAAATGAAAAATGCTGAATTCTTGCAATCCAGAATCCTCCCATAAAATTCCTCAAATTCTACTGTTTGTTGATTTATTATTTTAATTGACCTATTAATTTCAGGCAAAATCTGAAGCAATGTGGTGTCTGATTTTAGACGTAGGGATTTCTCCCAGCAAATGATTGAACAATATTAGTACTTTCTACTTCTGGCATCTTTTTATTATTACTAATTTCCTTTTTTTTTTTGTACTACATGGAAAATATAACATTTGCCTATTACCATAAGTAAAGTTATGTTACAGAGACAGGAGATGCTTTTACAACATAAGCTTCACAGTTTGACACTTGCTTCTTTATATCATCCTTTTCTTCAAAACTATCTTTTATATTTTTCCCTTGGTGTTTTAGTACAAGTAAGTATCTCATTGACATGTGTTTCCTTGAAATCTTGTACCTTAATAGTAAAATCCCTTGAAAATTAATAAATTGTTTCTGTTCAGATTAAAAAAGCTGTGAAAATTTCAGAATTGCTTTAAAAAATGTAGCAGTATTTACTATTACAGACCACCCTGCTTGGATTGCATCAGCTGAGGACTAATTATTTCATTTGCTCTTAGAAGGTTAATAAATTGTAACATGATGTATTTCAGTTATTCTATTATGTATTTATGTGTATGCATATTTAAGAAAAGTCTAATTCTTTCCTGAATGAAAAAGTCAGATTTAACAGCTACATAAAGAAATGTTTGGAAGCATTGGAAATTGAAACACGTATAAACCAATCAAGATATGCAGAATGCTATAGGAAATCCTAAATTTATGGGCACAGGTCTTTTCTCCAAGATATTTATCTGTGTGTTTCTTTGTATCATTTTTTAATATATTCTGCTATTTTGCTTTATTTTGTTTTATTTACTGGGGTTTTTTGTCTCTTCTGCTTTTTTTCAGGATCATCCAAAACCGGATTTTGATCGTTGTTCTGGCAGTCATCATCATCTTCACCACCATGATGGCTATTTTTTTTTCTGTCAGGGGACGCTGATATCTTTGTTCTTCACTAAACAGCCACAAACTGCTTGTTCTGAGTAATTAAGACAAAGTGGTCACATGAATCATTCTCTTGCACTGACAGAGTCTCCCTCTTTTCCACTATTCAACTCAGGTGCAAGTGGTGTGAAATATTTTGTATTATTGATGGCATAGTTGATGGCATGTGGGGTTGATTATTTTTTCTTAAATGTTTTGTCTTTATCTGAGTGTTTTCAGAATCTTAATATTTGTTGGGATGAGGGCTTGTTCCAGTATAAAAAGACTTAACGTGTGTCGAATTCTACCGCAGACAATTAGCCTGTAAGTTGCCAGAGTTTAGTGAGGGAAGAGGGGTCTTTGCACTTTTCTTGTGCTATGCGGGGTGTATGAATATCAAGCAGTATCTGACCTGTGATAAAGAATATAAGTAAAACAGAGACCAAACGATGTAGAAAGTGAACCTGTCTGCTGTGACTAACTCCCAAACATGAATTAGGCGTAACCTGGTTAGGAACAGTGGTTAGTTTTTAAAGAGAGCAACCTTAGGATGATGTTTAATACCTGATGGGAATCCAACTCTCTGTCTAACGTGTTTTAAAAATTAGACTTTCTTTTTGGCTTCTTGAAAACAATTCGACTTTAAAGATCATGATGATGCATCACTTGCCCAAAATGTAGTTGTGACCACAGCCCATCTGTTGGATCTGTTTTAAATCTCCCAGTGTTGTTATACGTACTGATAAGTATTCACACTAGGCCCTTATTGAAGATGTATAAAGATACTTATTTATTCCTTGCTGATTGAAAAGGGATCCTAAGTAATAGTTCGGTGACAAATACATGATTACAGTGCATTAAACAAAAATCTGGATTTTTAATATTGGCCTGACTATGTTGAGACCGCATGTTGGAAATATTTTTAGTGTATTAAATTCTGACGTGATATTCCCCTTTTTAAACAGAAACTGTAAAAATGTTAATTTATACATGCTTTTAGCTGATATAATATATCATAGTTTCATCTACCTGTGCGTAAATGAGCTGTGTTTCTCTTTTGCTGTTGGCTGTGCCTCCCCTATAGACAGGTCTAGGTCATTTGGCTTATAATTAAGCTTACAACTCCAGCAAAGGTCTATTTCTGGTGGTGTGGTAATTTTCATGATAACTTTTCAATTCATTATATGCAATCTCTTACAAATATTACAAATTGAGAGGACTTTTAAGCCGTTGAACTTAAGCTGTAAAATCTTTTCAGAAACATGTTCAAAGAAATAAAAAGCTAGTGGCTTTCAAACTCCCCCCAAATGAGACAGGAACTGAGCACCCAATTCTCGTGTGTGATTCTCGTAGTACTTTTCAGGTTTTGGCATCCCCGTGGTCTCTGCCGAGTTGCTGTGCTGTCCTGGGGAGCTGATTTTGGGATAAACATCTGGGAGCTGATTTTGGCCCTGAATACATCCCCTGTCTTCTCTGCATGGAAATGAGTAACTCAGCTAAAAGGATATTGGTACCAATGCCACAGCTAAGACTTCAAAACATGGTGATAAATGCAGAATACAAGGATCCACAGAAGTATGATACTCATTGAAACAAATCAAAGTGTGTATGGTCAGCTGTGACTTCCGAGTTACAGGCAGCTCACTGCAAGGTTCAAAAGCAGTTTCTGTGCCAGGTTTCTCTACCAGCTCACACCAGCGGCTGTCGGGTTGTGCCAGTACAAAAGTTCCTGGGTCATCCAAACCCACGTTTTCAGGGGGTGTTGCTCTGTTCAGCCGCTTTCCTCGGTGGCCCTGCACTGCCATGGGGCCATGGGACCCCCCTTGCCGCCTCCTGGGACACCCTCTCCTTTCATCCGTGCGAGGTGTGTGGCATTTGTGACACAGGAAGATTCGGGTGTTCAGCTTGCAGCAGCAGCCTCCGGTCACTACGTGCACTCAAATTAAGCACTTTGGGTTGTGCAAGCAGAGCTCTGGCCATTAGCTTCAAGTGATGGCTCTGAGCTGAGTTCAGGCAAATTAGGAGGAATCCTGGCAGCGTTAGAAGGTATTTATCCTCTCCGAAGCAAATTAGGAGATGCATATTTTGCAAAGCAGAAAACTGTCAAGAAGGAAATCTTAAGCTCCGTCTGTTGCCTAGACATTCTCAGCGTTGCCTCAATAATTTAACTATCATGGGGATTGATTCATGACTACTGATCTTAACAGTGACCTATGACTAGGTTTTGCCCTCTATCTAGCCACCTGCTGGAATCAGCAAAAAGCTGAAAGGAAGCTGGTTTTCCTTATCCCAGTATAAATCTAGGGCATAGTGTCACATCAGATACATCCACTCAGATGGGAATGAGGGAGAGAGGGAGACTGCTACGCAAAGCCTTCATGTTCACTTTTGATGAACCCGCCATCGCTATGTTTCTCATGCT